TTGGATTTCCGGGCCAATGCGGAAGATGGCATGCTCCGTGTCTGGTCCGGTCCGTTCCGGCCATGCCCGGCCCAGACGCTTTTCGGCATCGGACCAGAAAGAAGTGCGTCCGACTGCTTCTGGTACCGGACTAGTGCTGGGTGAACATGTGTGTATGTATACATGTACGTATCTATATCTATATCTATATCTATATATATATATAGATATAGATATAGATACACACATGTATATATACACATGTATGTAATACATATGTGTTTATGCACACGTACATACATACACACATGCATGCATACATACATTATGTATGTCTGTCCGTCTGTCTGTCTGTCTGTTTGTCTGTCTGTCTGTCTGTCTGTATGTATTTATGTATGTATTTATTATGCATGTGTGTGTGTACTTGTTCATGCGTTTGTTCGCTTTTATACACATATGAATTTACGTATGTATGTATATGTACATGTACATTTTTATATTCATATTCAAACATCTGTTTGTGTGTGTGCGCATATATGTATATGTATATGTGTATGTATATATATATATATGTGTATATATATACATACATATATGCTTCAGGTTAAGTATCTGCGCGCTTAGTCGGCTTTATGCATGCAAAACCAACTATTGCAAAACAGTACGACCCCGAAATAACACAGAAGATCTAAAACAGATCACTCCGAAAGAGCCCCTCAAATATAGAACCCCTCAAACCTAAGGCACTGTCTAAAAGCCCTTGGAACCTATGTCACAGAAACCATAGAAGCCAACATAATCATGCGAAGTTTTGCCTATGACCCTTGCGCGCCTATATGACACAACCCATACATACCAAAGTCATGTTACGCATTGCCGATGACCCCGTGCACCTAAATGACGACAGAAGCCATGCATGCCCATATAAACCAAAATCAACATGCCAAGCATTGCTTTTTTCATTCCCCGTCTTCTAGGAAGGAAGCTGGGATGTAAAGCTTAGTGTAGAACAAGTGACTGAAATAATGGTGCTCATGAGGCTAACACCGGGGGGTTTTAATCCCAAGAGGGTCTAAACTTCGGCACTCCGTCTTGTTGACACCGCCATCAGATCCATAGCCATACTTTTTGCAGCTCGTCTTCATGTGGAAGCATTCTAAGGACGTCTTTCCTAATCTCGTCTCTTGTCCGATACACACTCCGGGCAAGGCCTTTGCAATTGTTTTTGCCCCATGCCTTCTTCTCCAAATCTTCCGTGGCAGCAGACACCTCCGGGTTAAACATGAGCGGCAGTTGCTCTATCATACACGCCACGGCTACACTCCTGTGCTTGCCAGCGCGACAGTACACAACGATATTTACAGTTCGGTGAAACCAAGCAAGTGCAACGATTCTGGCCAACATGTCTCTGCACCTGTCGACGCGGAGCATTCCAAGCATGATGTACATACCATTCGCGGGGACTTCGGAGGCGGAGATCTCGAGGGTGCTTTCACTCTGGGCTTGATAGGTGGAGGTTTGGAAGGCGTAGGCGGAGGTTTGGAAGGCGCACATGTCGAACGTGCTCTCACTCTCTGGGCTTCACAACTACCCGGGGGCGTTGGAGGCGGACATGTCGAACGTTTACTCTGCCCGCAACAGGCTGTGAGCTTGGTTCTGCAGGCATCGAAAATGAGGGCTTCGGAACTCCGCCCACTCGTCTCGGTGAAGGTAGCTGCGAAATAGGCAAGCGACCGACAGGAAGCATGGAGGCCCTATTGCACGCGAAGAAAACTTGTCCTGAACATTTAGTCGGATGCCTACGCTAGCTCACAAGACGACCTCTGCGGTCCATTGCTTGTTTTAAGTTAGCTTCTTCAACTAAGCCTCAGTTTTGACCCACTCTTCTGTCTACACCGAGTGCCGAGGACTAAATGCAGCTGAGGTGTGGATTACGATTTTGCGCTTATGAGGTTTGGAGTTTATTGGTTTGGGGTTGCAGGTGACGCCCTTCCGCACGTCGCCAAGTATCGGACCTGGAGATCAGCATATGCAATATCATATATATATATATATGTAGATAAATGTATGCAAACTATTATTTATGTCTTCATGAAAACGGTATACAGCTGATGGACACAACACATATACTTACAGAGGGCACAAGATAAGATACAAACCAGCACAACGAAAGTAGGAACAATACACACACAACGACAATGAGGTGTGTTGACACTGGTTGAACGGGGACATGGAAGAAAAGGAAGATACAATGATCATGACGGAGATGACGACGATGATGATGGTGTTGATGTTGATGAAGTACAGTGATATTCCCAAAGGCTCCATGTGCTCATATAGTATATTTCGGCCTTGAAGTCCCTATATAGGGACTGCTTTTGGGGCGAGGTATATACTATTTGGGTACAGGGAGCATGGAGCCTCAGGGATTGCTGTAACGCCTCAGAAATGCTGTTTTCCGCAGCAGCAGTCAGCATGAGTCTTGAATATTGCGGCTTTGTAGAAGCCGTCGGCGCTTAATCAAAAACGCAGCTACGGCGTTTAGCATCGGCTCATGACGAAAAAAGCGGCCACGCGGGAAAAAAAGGTGGGTGGTCTCGAAGCCCACTGCTCGACCTGCTGGAGGATCTTCTCCATTTACCAGGTCAGCAGATCGCCCGTGCAAGTCCACAGGTCCTGACCCTGGTGCCAGTAGGTGTAGTGAGCGGATCCCGTCTGGACATGTGGGTTCAGCTTCACACGGCTCTTAGTGAGAGCGGTCGATGATCTGCGTGCCAACCTTGACAGTCAGTTTTCGTCCGCTAGGAAGAGCGATTTTCTTGAGCTTGACGTTGGCTGCCACTTCCACAGACCACCAGGCAGCCTCGAAGAATGCACTTGCACCTCCCTGATTTTCATCATTGCCGCGTCATCGCGCATGGTGGAGTCGAACCAGCCGCGGCAGTTGCACATGCAGTTGTGAAACTAATCGTAGTTGACCTGAGCCTGCGTCTTTTATTTCTGAAGCTGTGCAGTCCTGAACGGTTGTGTTGAGCTTGACCTCTGTCCATGACTTGCTTCTCGAACCACAGGCACCTTGAGCCCCAGAGTTCTTTCGCTCCTTTCCTCTCTCACTCACCAGGTTATAGGAGAAGAGCGAATCGAACCCCTATGTCTTAATTAAGATAGAAAGACAGTGAATGAGCGGGCGGAATGGAACGTTTTTTTTTTTTAACGTTTAATTGGAACACAGGGCCCTTGTTCACCCTTCCACCGCATGGTTTCATTACGTTCACGTTTCCCTCTTTCATTTCATTACGCTCTTTTCACGCTTCCCTTGTATTTCATTGCAAAAGACCTAACTAATTAGAAATAGAACGTACCTGGCATGCGATTCCAAGGTGAAAGTCTCGTGACGCGATTTCCTTCAGTGGTTAGTTCCTGAGTGCTGATCGCGGGTTCCTTGGGTGGCAAAAGACCCGAACTAAACGGTTTTTCCTTTTCACCTCGTTTAGTTAGCGCTTTTGTTAGTTTTCCCCTTTGTGCTAATTTCATTAAACGAAATATAATGGAACAAAGTGAAGCATGATTTCATTTTTAAATGAGGACAAATGCCTGTGTTTTGCTTATGAAAAATAAAGGCGTGCGTGTTCACTTACCCTTGTGTTTTGAATAAGGGAAACACAGGGCCCTTTGTTCGATCCTTTTGCTTAGTTCTTGCTTTGTTTCCCTCCATTGAAAAAAGCAGAAGAGGTTTTGCTGAGCCTTACAGCAGTCGTCGGAGTCGATGACCGATGAGGTAGGTGACGAAGATGTGGGTGCACCGGGACTCACTCGTAAACGGGCCTCACCATCACGAAACATAACCATTCCTGAAACTGTGCTGCTCCAATCGCTCATGGCAATCACAGGCTAGCCACGGCTTGGGGACGTAGCCTTAAGTATCAAGAGCGCGGCAAATCACAAACATCAGGCTTTCAACAACACTTGCTTGCACTGCACATCAACAGCATTGTCTCACACTGCAGTCATAGGCACGCGCAGGCAACAAACGATGCAGGATTGAAGCTGGACTGGCTTCCAGGAGCCTTGGGGCAGGATCTTGGATCCGGATTGAAATGGATGGAAGGATTGAATTTCAATCCGGGCCCGGATCCGACATGCAAGATCCAAGATTCTCCCAAGACGTATCTGGGATCTTGGATCTTGGACCCGGGCGCGGATGGGAATTCAATCCTTAAATCCCGGGAGTGAGTATTGAGATGACCCCAAATATCAGGACGGATATTCGGATTGAAGGATAGAATTTCAACCCTGGCCCGCAAGACTCTTGGGGGAATCTTGGGTCTTGGATCTTGGATCCGGGCCAGGATTGAAATTCAATCCTCCCATTCGGCTTTCAATCCTACAACGTTGTTGCAAAGTTTGACACACCTTGTGTATGTGTAAAGGTTGGGGTATTTTAGTAGAGAGCGGGACATAGCGAGGACATGAAGGACATAAAAGCCTGGAAAATACATAAAGAGACTATGAAGGACAGAAACGTGAAGATCTTTAGGCGGGGGGCATCATACATGTATAATGCATATGCACATATATATATATATACTTATACATCTGTAACTATATATCTGAATAAATACATATATATATATATATATTTATTTATACATATACGTACACATGTGTGTATATGTATATTCGTTCTTACCTTGTCGTTTGTGTTTGCCTGCTGCATCTTGAACAGTTTGTCGTTGGCCGCGACGTTCAGAATGTCGCCACCGCGAGCTGTTTTGGATATACTCCCCCGTCCTTCTTGCTGCGGGCCACGCACCTGATGCTTTACCAGAGCTTCGGCGAGCGGTTTTTGAGCCAATCCAATCTCAAAAGAAGCCCGATATATTCCAATCTCCCTTCGGGGGAACCAGCTGAATTGCTGCTGGAGACACGGACGACGGCCTTGAAGCAATAGCTTTCAGCATTCAGAGCAAGAAGTTCGCTTGGCCCAGTGGCAGGAAGCCGGGTCGAAGCTGGGCCTGCTGATGCAGGATATGCTTTTGGACACATTTCCGGAAACGGTACATTTTGATGGCAGGCCGGGTCTTTTAGCTGTGTGTGCCCGATCAAAAACACCATGCTGGAGGTTGCGACCATTTACGGCGCAGTCTCCCAATCAAGGCACGGAGGCCTTTTGACGCTGAGCGCCGCTTTCTGCACAACGCCAGGAGCAACCTCTCACGTGATCTTTCTCTGCCTTTGTGCCGGCTTAGCGGTGCCAGTCACAGGCAGAAATTGCCGGCTGACCTTGGTGCAGCTGGTTGAGATGTCCTGGCATAGGCTTGGCGGCCGCCAGGGGTTGGAATGTGCCACGCATTGTTCGCTGCGGGCTTGGCTTTGAAAACAGCTTCTTTTTGCCAGCCTGCTTCATTAAAGCTGGTGCCATTGAATCATTCAGGTGCCATGTTCGAGATTCGACAGGCAGGGTGCTGATGCAGATGCCGACGTGTTGCTGCTGGTTGCCAATGGTTGCCAGTCGCATGAAAGGTTCGCTGCGACACCTGCGAAGAGGGTCGCAGAGGGCAGGCTGTAGAGGAAATCCAGATCGAGGTGAACCGCATCAGGAGATTGGAAATGAGCGCCACCCTCAGCAACTAAATCCATGTTACGTGCCCGGCGGTTGTAGACAAGCCTGCATCAAAGGTGGTCTTCTAGAGGAAGAGGTAACCGTGGAGGATTTTCACGAATCCTTTGCTGATCCACGCCGCGCCTAGCCGCCTAGTTCAATTCGTCCCCATGTACTTGAGAAGAATAACTTCCCGTACACAAAGACTGTCAAAGTACAGGCACAGGGAACGCCTGACAGCCAACCGGCGTCGCTCAGACAGTGCGAAAATGCTGTGTGACAGAGCAGACGAGTCCGTCTCGTGTGTTTTGCGGTTCACGTTGCTTGGGGGCTTTTCGTGCGCCTTCGGGTGATTACGCAGGCGGCTGAGGAGACCATCCATCGCACAGACTTGATCGCACAAGGATTCCAGGACCTAACGAGCCCCACACGTTTCATGCCCTTCTTTTCGAAAGCGAGGACCGGGAGCTCCGCTACCGAGGGAACATCGCCGCTGCTCGCGCCGAAAGCCCAGCTAGCCTGAAGCTGAACCGAAGAGCGGATCGCAGATTTGCAACGCCCAATCAGGATCAACTGCTGGACCACGCGCAGGAGTACAGCAAGCTGCAAGCGGGCTTGCGAAGGTGTGAGCCGGGGCCATGCAGACTGGAAGCAACAGCTTCTGCATGCGCGCTGCAGATCCATGGAAGACCTCGCACTCCTACGGGATGATCTGGAAATTGCTCATGGCTCAGACTGATGTGCGAACAGACTTCTGAAGAGCGTCCATGCTTATCATGTCATGGCAGGTAAGACACGATTTCGAGAAATTCCAGCGAAATAGTCAGGCTTTTTGCTGTGTGCGTTAGGCGCTTTGCTGTGTGCATTGACTTGGTGGTGTATGAGGCTCCATGACTGTACAACTGCATAGATTGAGTATGGCGGATATGCTCGGGCCATGAGATAGCAAAGGTTTGTACTTGCAAGTCCAACTATCAGGTTGTCAGATAACATCTTCACAAGTGGCCATCTTTTTACAGTAGGACCTTTTTCTCGCACTGAACATGGCAGCAACTAGGGGTCGATGACTAGTTAAATGTCGGACGTGCAGTGCCATCCTCGAGCTCCCGATCCTCAGACCCGACGTCGGCTTGCGGTTTCGTTTTCACGTGACATTTGCATATGTACATGTATATGAGTGTAAAGCAAACAAACACGTACCTAACCAGCTAAATAACTAGCCGTAACCAGCCCTAACTAACCAAGTAACTAACTAAACTAACTAGCTAGCTAGCTGCCTAACTAACTAGCTAGCTAGCTAGCTAGCTAGCTAGCTAGCTAGCTAGCTAGCTAACTACCCAACTAGCTAACTACCAAACTAACTAACTAACTAGCTAGCTAGCTAGCTAGCTAGCTAACTAACTAACTAACTAGCTGACTAGCTCACTGACTGACTAACTAACTTGCCTACTTAATTGTTTACTTGCTTGCTTGCTTGCTTGCTTGCTTGCATGCTTGCTTGCCTGCTTGCTTAATTGCTTGCTTTCTTGATTGCTTGCTTCTTGCGTGCTTGCTTGCCTGCTTGCCTTCTTGCGCGAGGATAAACATATCTGTAAACCAGGCCTTGCCCTTTCGGCAGTGCACCTGCGCAAAAGACTGCATGAGGTAGATGGCCTGCTTTGGGCTGACTTTCCTGACCGGAGTGTGGGATGTCAAGGNNACTGACTGACTGACTGACTGACTGCCAACCTACCTACCTACCTAACTAACTAGCTAACTCACAAACGAACTAACTAACTGGCTAACTAGTTAAGTAACTAACTAGCAGCTAGCTAGCTATTTCGCTAGCTCGCTAGTGACTTAGCAACTAAGAACCCACCAACCGAATAACCAACTAGCCAGCCAGCCGTCCGCCCCTTCTGTTTGGTGGAGTTGGCCGGTTGCCGGAGAACCGGGTCCCTGTTTGTCCCTTCTTGCCCTTGTGTGCACGCCCGCCAGCATCATGCTGCACGCGAGCAGGATGACGAGGATCGCGATCGAGGAACTCTGGCTCTTTTGAGCGGCGAACGCAAGGAGTTGTGTGCCGGACAGGGATGAAGACTGCTGCAGACATCACGAGATTGAGATCAACTTTCAGGAACTGGAGAGAAAGCTTTCCGAATTGAAAGACCGAGGCTAGCTAGAGCTGCTTTCTGCAAGCGAAGCTCCGCATTGCCCACTCTCAGGCAGTCACCTGGACTTTGAGAGCAATATGCTACGAAGTCGAGCCGAACAGGCCAAAGACTCATCGCTCAAATCTGCCTTCTGCTGGGTAGCATGCAGGTCAGGGAGAGGGTCGCCAACGAAGTTACTTAGCAACGCTTTTTCACAGAATTGTACAACAGCTGCATCTCAAAACGGGATGTGGATGTCGAGTTGATCGGTCTCGATTCGTCCGGCACAAGCAAAACAAAGCTTGGACTTGTCCACCGTGGCTGATATCTGATTCACTGGAGTGCCTGGTGATAAATCCAGTGAAGTTCAGCTGTGTCAACTCCTGGGCTTTGCTTTCGGTTCAAGCGGGAAGTCCGATCCCGTTCCTTCTGCAAGTTGCAGATAGAGCTGGAACTTCAGCGCGCGCAGCAAGGCGGGTCCTGAACAGTCTCCGTGAACTTGCTCTGAGGTATCGAAATGAGTGTCACTGCCGACCAATGCATAAACATCACCAGCGCATCCATCTGCGAGGCCGGGTACGGAAAGAACTGGGCCGATTTGCCTCTGTGCCATCCCAGGTTTGCGGAGGCGGACTTGTTCTTCCCCTCTTCGCACCAGGCAGATTCCATTCACCTGCCTTCCACGGCGTTTGTAGGGAGGCCCTGAGTAGGCTCAGCCAGTTCTCAGAGTGACATGCTGAACCTTTGATCCATTGACTGGCCAGAGCTTGGCCACTGTTTGCGAGAGTTTGCTTCAGCGCTGCAAGCTTGGCCAGATGAGCAGACATGGAATGATGGCCTACGCCTGCTTCTGAGCTGGAATCGAAAGGCCAATCAGAAGCAGCAGTCACGTCCGGGGGGTCCTAAAAATTCCGGTTCAAGAATCGTGTTGATGCTCCGCGGAATGGTGAGGGCCCTCTTCCGTGCTCTTTCTGCTCTGCAGGGTCGGGTTGCGGTCAGTCTGACAACTCGCAGGCACTGCAGCTACGCACTGCTTCTGACAAGCACACATATGAGACCAAAGCAAAGTGTGCTGGCAGCTGACGACATCTGGTTACTGAAGCAAGGATTGGCTTGACTGCCGCATGTGAGTGATAAAGAGCATTGCTACTGCTCGAGTCCAGACTGGTGGACATCTACTGAGACGCAATCGCACAGCAAAGCTTACCTGAAGGGATCCTCGTCCTCGCTCTTCGCAGCCTTGCTTGATCATCTCGTGTAGCGTGTAACGCCCGACAATTGCAGAGCTTTGGACTGCCTTGCTGTCCCCCTCCTCGATATTTTTAACATACCGAACGACCCTCCGCCAGCTTCTTTAAAACTTGAACGGAGTTCTGTAATATGCCGTCCCGAAGCCACCAGCTGCAGGCGGCTTCAGGTTTGTTCTATACTGGGGGCGGTCTTGTTCCTTCACACCACGCATGCTCTCCTGGAACTGAGAGCTGTGCACTGAAGATCACTGAAGTTTCTGCCTCTTTCTACTGCCTATGCACTAGTCAAGCAATGTCCGTAGCTTGAAGATTGCAAGATATGGCAGAAAAATCGAATTGTAGCAGTACTTTAGTACTTGTAGATTGGGGAAAGGCTTTCGACAAGATCTTTCAACATAAACTAATTAACTAATTGAAACTCTGCAAAGGCTGAAAGTACCAAACTAAATCAGGAACTTGATCGAAAGCTTCCATAGGGACCCGAAATTTAAAGTTAGTATGGATGGGAATGATTCTGATTGGTTAACTCAACATACAGGTAGAAGACAAGGCTGTCCGCTATCACCTTATCTATTCTGCGCTATATCAAGGTTGAAGTCAACACTCCCATGCAGCATCAGCCCATTGATGGCAGTTATGTCTCTGAAATACCGTATGCGGACGATACCTCACATTCGGGGAAAATACGCATTGTGTTGCTGTTCTTTTTTCATGCAATAGAAATTCATTCAGCTTACTATGGTCTCACTCTGAATTATGGAAACTGTGTTAATCTCACCGCAAACCAACAGCAATCTTCGGTCAGATTCTCCACTTCAGGTCGCCTCAAGGCAAGCTTGTACCGAGAAAAAACTCTGCCACCTACCTCGGAACAATGCTAACAGACGCCCTTTATGCAGCGGAAGTTTCCAACAGAATCGGTGACTGTATAGCTACATGCCACGGCTTGAAGTTGTTCTGGAATATAAAGCTAACAACAGCAGAAAATGGAAAATCCAAGTGTTCAATGCGATCGTCCGCTCCAGATTACTCTATGGGGTAGACTGTGTGCAGCTAGCTAACGCTGAATTCTCTACCCTAAATGCCTTCCAGAACAACTCGTTGAGAAGAACTTTATACATCCCGCCTACTCACAGACAGAGAGCAGACCAATGCTAGCATGTATGATCAAATACGAGACGTCTTGGACACGTATTGCGAGCCAGCCCAGCAGATCCTCTAGTTCAAGTTACTTTCGAACAGACGAATTGACACCTAGAGCTCCCACCAGAAGCAGATTGGACCACCGAAGCTTATAGAGATGCATACGGAATACTGCATGGAGCAAAGGCCATCGGCCTCTCGAGGTATTCCTCGCGGTAATCTCGTCATCTTTGCTTGGGAAGCGCGGTGCCAGTTTTTCCACTTTTATTTACTCATTGCTGTGCTACTGGTCTCGAAGGAAATTTATCCTCTATGACTGCCTGAACTTGCCTCACTGTCCCAGTGTACCTCCTATTCGTGCTTTGCATTCTCACAAACCTGTTCGGAGCCCTTCGGTGCTCGACAGAGAAATGAAACCAGAAAGACGCAGGGCCAGAGCGCTGAGGTGCAGTCCTGTACTTCACTGGGCTATTTTGGTCCTTCATGGGCCAGGGTCTCAGATGGGCACGTCAATGATGGAGCAATGCCCGCCGCCATGTCGACAAAGGCGTAGGCATTGTCTCTGACATCTTTATGGGATCGATCGAGAAGGTGTAGCCTGCCACGCGTCCTTGCGTTGCAGAAGTCAAGATGCGAAAGACCCAAAAAAGCAAGCATTTGCAAACAGATCACGTCGAAGAAGAAGCGAATCTTCAGCTCCAACCTGCAGACTTTTATCACTGTCCCTTGGCAGAGCAGGACTTGCCAGCCGGATCCGCAGTTTCTAGCCGCTGGCTTGTCAGGTCAAAGTGTGGAATTCCACCGTCTCAAACTTGACGCTGATGGCCTTGGGTTCGAGTGCTCCGGAAATCCTTCTGAGCGTACGAACCCCGGGTCCCAGGTCGTGCAATTGTTCGGTGATGCAAGATGGTGTCACAATTGGCAAAGCTGTCTGGCAGTGCCTTAGTGAGGTCATAGAGCTGCTCAAGAACAACATGTATTCTGGCGATTTGGGCCCATCCACAATTGCCACAGCCCTGAACACTTAGCAGGTCAGAACATGTTGATGGTTGTCTCTGTTTTCAGGTTGGCAGCGCAGCCTTCAATTTGCTGGTCATCACCGCCGTTTGCGTTTCGGCAATCCCTGGTGGTGAATTCCGTAGGATCAAAGACATCCAGGCAAGGCGTCCGATCGTTCTCCTTCACCACGGCAGAAGTGTTGTCCCTGCAGGTCTTTGCTGTCACTTCGACCTTCTCCGTTTTTGCATATCTTTGGCTAATCGTCATGTGCATGTTGTGGACGCCTGACGTCGCACTGGCATGTTGAATGAAGTAGCTTCACCTCGCTTGCGAGTGTCCCATTCGAAACCAGCTTCATCCAGGTCATCACGATCCCAGAAGCAGCTTGGCAAGACCGGGGGAGAACAGGAGTCCGTGAGTTCATCTCTTGGAGGTCTCTGGCATGTGCCGAGATGTGCGACGTGCGGTTAAGACTGAAGATGCGGAGTTAGTATCAGTCTGGGCAGTTAACTGATGCCCAGCCGGTAGAGAATGAAGAGCAAATACTCGTAGCCTCCAGAGCAAACCAATGCAGGACGTTTACCAGTAGCTGCAATAATACCAGATAAACAGTACCCAGCTCAGTCGTGAATGCTTTTTGGCAGTTGGTTTCTTGGAAGCAAGATGAAACTGAGAACGCACTGAGCAAGTAATCAGGCATACTCTGCAGTGGTAAGTCCATTTTAAGGCCTTCCCGTCCTTTCTGCTGACGCACTCATCCAGCAAACAGAAGCGGGGTTGAAATAACGATGACCCTGATCCCGGCTTGCTCGGTCAACACGAACACTTCATTTCGTTTAGATCCTGTATCAGGCAGAGTGGAAGCTCATGCAAAGCGTCGAATCTGGTTTGTTCTATGCATAATATCCTTCATGTGTATGATACGTGAAGAGGCCAACTTACACAGCCGATTGCAGAGGCACTCATAACGTTCTTCTTGTTTCCGGTCCTAGTGGGTCTTGCCTTCATGGCTGCCAGAAGCTCAGCATTCCGACGCATGGGAAGCCTTGGCATTAATCCGCCCGAATTTGGGTGTCACTGAGGCTGTCTCTGTTTTGCTTGCACTCAGGACAAGGGGTATTTCTCTTCTGGAAGCAACAACAAGGAGGCGCAGAAGGTCCTTCTGGACGCAGCGACGGAGCAGGCCGAACACTGGTTGCGACGAACATCTGCTGCCTGGCGTGCCACCGGCTAGGAGATCGCCACAATGAGGATGCGAATACTCAAGAAGCATGGCACAGGGATTCCAGACGCCCAGCTGTCATGTCTTGGCGTGAGTCTGCTCGACTTTCAACATGACTGTTTCATTTCGGGCCAGGACAAGGTTGTGGCCCTCATTAGAGAAGAGTTTGGTGCAGCAGTCCCCGTCTTGGAGTTGCAAAGACTTCTGGTCGACATCTACCAGGAAAGACATGCCTGTTGCAACAGGAAGAACCTTCAAGAGCAGCTCGACGCATGGCGGCCACAGAGAAGCTCTTCGGTGGTGGAAGGCTGAAATAGCATTCGTGTATTCACTGAGCCATTATTTCCGTGCGCTTCATGGTTGCTTTCCCAGAGCTGCTTACACTCATGCAGATGAAGGTAGTAGAGGGACCCAAGGCTTAGGCAAGGCTGCAGGAAAACCCGCGCACTGATCCACAATTCAGAGGGCGCAGAGAAAGCAGACAAAATTACAGGTCACCAGAAAGGCTTCAAGCCGCAGATGGGGAGGGCTGTCACATTGAATACACGCAGCACGAGCCACCCAGAGGGAGGAAAATACCATGCACACAAGTACTTTCGCTGCTTGCGCTTGCAGGCGAAAATCTGACACCAAGGTGGCCCATCTCTTGGCTACTTGCCGTTTGGGTCTGGAAGGGTGCTGTGCCTTGACGACTCAGGTCCCAGTGCAACTGTCGCCGGAACAGAAGGTCATCAGACCTCGGAATCGATCAAATGTAACTCGCTGAGACATTCTGAAGCACCCTGCCAGGAGGCCAGCAAGCCCAACGTTGTCTTCGCCTTCGAGCAGGAGCCTTACGCTGAAGAATCTGCCAAAGCCTCCGCACGACCTTTAGCATTGAAGAGCTGGAAATAGGCAAACTCTCCTCATCAATCTCTTGGTAGCTTCGCATTTGTGAGAAAAGCAGCTTTGCAGTGCTCTCTGTTTCTTGAGGCACCTGGAATACTCCTGCCTGGAAAGCTGTGACAAGCTGGACCTGACATGCAATGTGATGCGACATGGGATAGCCTTGGGCCTTGGGCACTGCAGTGAAAGGCCTCAGAAAGTGCCCAGAGGCCTCTGCGCACGGCAAGCACCAACTCGAGCACCCCATGCCCCCCCGTCACAAAGCCTTCGTGCGAGACGAGCCTTGATCGTGAGGAGCTGCTGGTCACCCGGGAGTCCGACAGCATCGAGCCGTTGGGCAAGGGGAGTGTCATGCAACCCGACCTTCTTGTGGCGGCAGACTTGCGTCAACTGCCGAAGTCATTCTCGAAGCTGCGAGGTACAGAACGAAAGAAGTCACGGCGAAGGATGGGAAAGATTTCATCCAGGCTGAGGGCAAGCTGGACTTTGAAGAGGCCAGTTCACAAATCCCATGACAGTGCAGATGGACATCTCCTGTAGGATGAGACGGAGAAGATGATATACATTCAGATCCTCGATGATGACGAGCATGAGCCCGACACGTACTTTGATGTTGAGCTCTACCAGCCCTTCACCGTCGACGAATCAAAGGTGCTAAGCCCGGCATGCTTTCTTGAAGGCAAGGTCGAGAGTGGGATCGTACATCAAGTTGGAAAGGGGGCCCTCTACTGTTGTGCTCACGATAGTCTTCCAAATTGATTGAGGTCGAGACGAAGCTGGGCAAGAACAAGACCGCTCATGTGCGCCTGGGTCGTGCTGTGCGTTCTGTCGACGAGCTCGGTTCATGGGGTTCTTTGCGGGATGCAGGGTTCGAAGGTTCTGTCTTTCGCAGCGACGGAGAGAGGATGAGGGAGGCTCTGTGAGATCGAGTGCATTGGCAATCCTGCTTCACTGCGTCCCTTACGTCAGAAAGCCCGAGGTCCAGGACAGACTTCTGTGTATTCGAGAGATGCGGGCAAGACTCTAGAGTTTGAAGCTGGTGCCTCTTGCGAGCGCTTCCCCAGCCCTCAGCATTGCGGAATCGGTGTGCGAGTCCTAAAAACACATCGCGCCACCGACACGAGAAAGGCGGCGCTCCTGTAGCGAGGGTTGAGCAAGCCTAAACTGCCGGATGCCACTTTCTTCTCGAAGTGGTTGTCTCCTCAGGATAAGCGGCCGCTTCCAAGAAGTGGACCGTGGGCTTCTACCAAATTTCCTTTCGTGCGGTCTTGTTGGCTCCCGATGCGTTCACTGCATACTTTCTCTCATGTGATTTCATGTGGCTCGTGTGGGCCGGGACCTTGTCTTCCACCTGGCGCTTGGGTCGGATGGGTTGACCGCAAAGTTGGTGTTGGCAGGTCGGATCGGTGTGCCGATGGGCCGGAGTTTTGGTTTTGGTGGGGGTCCGCTCATGGGTCCTGAGGGAAGTTGGGTCATATTTACCTCATGGATTGGTTGTGGGCTTCATCGGTCGTGGGTCGGTTGGGTGGGTGTGGCCGAAGTTTTATTCCTATGGCTTCCTTCCACAATTCCGTCCGTGCGCCTGCATGGTCGAGTGCTGGGTTTGATACTTCGGACAAATAGCACCTGGCTCGGATGATCTGACGTTCCACATGTTGCTGGTTTCTCCCTTCTTCAAGACTCCGAGCCAGATGAAGTGGTTAAGTTCGCACAGGGTTCTGTGCATCTTGGGCTTTTTGGACAGCTTGGACTTTTGGACTCATGTCCGGCCATGCATGCTGCTCCGATCTGTGCTGTCGCGGGCGTCCATCTGATTGTGGCGGTCTTCCAACATAATGAGGGAACACAGCCAAGCTTGTTGCATGGGTCCGAGCATCGGGAGCGGAGGATTACTTGTTTAGGTTTCTCGCAGCTTCTCGCAATCGATTCCCGACCCCCACATCGAGCACTTTCACAGTGTTGTGGATTTCCCACGCATTTGCTTGCGGTTGGTGGCCTGCAGGTCAGGATCGTCGATGATGATGCGGTCGGAGTTCTGGCCTTCAGCAGCCAAGAAGAGAAGGCGCAGGGAGCGGGGAACCAGAGAGACTTTCTTGGAGCACTGAGGTACGGCCCTTATAGTTTAAAGTCCAATCCCCAGGTTAGCGAGGATTTTAGCGGCGAGAAGGCCTTGCTGTTTGCACATGTCCTTGTGTTTTTTGTGGTGAACTCCTGTCCTTGTTCCAGAGGTCATATCGATCATGGTCCATCGGCATGCCGGTGCCAAGGGGCGACCTCGCCAGTTTGTGCCAAGTTGTGGGTGGAATGGATGCGCTCACGCGAAGCCGGCAAAATCACAAATGTAAGCGTTTGCCCCACTTGTGGTTTACTCCAACGCGATGTTGGCGAAACCGTGTTCGAAAATCGACTCTCGCAGTGTCCGACACTGTTTGTCGTGTCTTGTATTGAAAACATGTATTTCACGCCAAGAAGTCTTGCATTGCTTACATTGGATTGGGTGATGCTTTGATATCCAGCCCGTGTCGCGAGCTATTGTAGCTCTTCGTAGTGCCTTGCAGACGCCCCAGCCGTTTACTGCGCTAGCCTTGCTATTGCATGCCACCGGACGGAATTCAAGTGATGAAAGGGGCTGTCTACAGACACATAGCATCTGCTTGTGTCCAAGATGAGATGCACAGGAGGTACCTGTATCATTCGCCAATGCAGAAGCCATGCCAGGGCCGTGTCCTGTTCCTACCGGACAGAAGATGGCACTGGCATCGCCGGCATAGACTACGAAGAAGCCACGGGAACACTGGAGTTTGCAGATCAGGAGGCTGGCCTCAGACTGCGTGAAGTTGGACGCGTGGGAGAGGGATGTTGCTTGCCCTTCCACAGACGGAGAATGAGATCCAGATCACCATTAAGCCGAGAGGCTGGTTTCTTGACTCTGCCCAGGCTTCCGGTCCCTGAGTTTCAAACCCGTGTCAAGGCCGCTTTGACACGACCTCCATCTTCAGGCTGTACATAGAAGAAGCGCGTGGCACTCAAGCCACTCAGCGTTCCCTCTCCAGCCCGTGGCAAACGAGGAGTTTCTGCTTGGAGATCTGGAACTTAGCTGTACCTGCGACTCAGGACAGGTGGAGTCGGTTTTGCAGCTCATACTGATGGTGGAGAGGAGCCTTCCGGGGGTTTGGTGGAACGATTTCAGACTTACTGGACCGTCACGTTCTGCGGTGCAGGAATGCTGCATCTGCACGATTGTTGTTGGAAGCGATGAAGTGACGAAGCGCCGAGCAGACAAGCTAAAGCAGGCTGGGCTCGCAGTCGGTAATCCGATGGTCTTTCGAAGACGTGGAATGCAGGAAAGACAAGTTGCAGTGGAGACATGTCCCAAGTTCGTTTGGGTCAATTGACTCTGAGTCGCGGAGGCCTTCAAAGTCAACTGGGAGGTGCAGATGATGGCTAGGGACAACTGGAAGGCACGGTTCGTGGGCCGTGTCGCATTTTGGCACAACACGCATGGTCCGATGCAGAAGGACCAATTCACTGATGCGGTTCTCCTCGATGCTGGGGAAGCAACAGTTAGCATCTGAGGGTTGCGAAGTTGCGACAGCGTAGTTTGCTGTTTGCTGCTGCTTTCACAGTGAAAAGAGCTGGCCATTCTCTCCGAGGGCTGTGAGCTGGCCACTGCCTGGATATTCCACCTCATCACGATGCCCTGGAAGGCCTTTTGGCTTGACTGTGAGTCCTGCGGAATGTGGCGCTAGACTCTAGACCCGAGACCAGGTCATTTTTGCTTTGATCCCTCCGGCGGCATCCTTATTCGGTCGAACTCTTTTTTATGAGGTTTCAGCGGTACCAGTGCTCAGGTTGACTACTGCGGTGGCTGGCTTTGTTTCTGCTCCTCACTGGCCATGATTGGCGCAGTGACTGCAGTTATAGGCCCGTCTTTGGGGCACTTTTGCGTGGATTGTTAATTTGGTGCTGCGTCGTCTCGGGGGATCGTATGCTGAGTCCCAAGCTCGGATCTTCACGCGAACAGGGAGCTTGCAGACACGAAACAGTGAAGGTGCGCCTCTGCGCCGGCAAGGATTGATTACTCTTGCCCGATGTGGGCTCCAAGTAAAACTGCAAGATTTACTTCATCGACACAACGATATGAAGATGTAATAATCATCCTTTCATGGTACTGTTTTGACCTCATTCCCAATGTAGTAACGGTTGGTTACATATGTGACATGATGTCAACATGCTGTCGTATGACTGATATGTCAGGCAGGCACATATGAACAGGTCACTACGGCTATGCGGGTGAATTGCAGGCTGTCGCAGCATGTTGACTCTCACAAACATTGTAATCAATAAGCTTCGATAGACTTTGCGCATGTGACGTAATCAATTCTTACCTATATCGGCTATGTCAACTTTTCGTTTACCTTCTTGTATGTGTACGATGGCTGGATGCTTAGAGAGGTAGATAGATAGAGTCCGTCGTACGTGTGTGTATGTACCTATGTGCGTATGCAAGTACCTACGAAAGTATATATGTGTGTATGCGTGCATGCATGTAGGGATGGCTGTAGGTAGGTAGGTAGGTAGGTAGGTAGGTAGGTAGGTAGGTAGCTCGGTAGCTAGGTAGGTAGGTAGGTAGGTAGGTAGGTAGGTAGGTCGGTCGGTAGGTAGGTAGGTAGGTAGGTAGGTAGGTAGCTCGGTAGCTCGGTAGCTAGGTAGCTAGGTAGCTAGGTAGGTAGGTAGGTAGGTAGGTAGGTAGGTAAGTATTCATACAGATCTTCTGTCTGTATAAATATGAGGAACCTAACAAGTGCAAAATACAACAACCCGACATATGCACACCTAAGTGCCTGAGTCGAAACACTCGTTTCGCTCAGTTCTATGTATAATGCCCGCACAGATCACCAAACGGTGAAACAGCATCACGACGACCATGACGACCTGGAAGCTCACAACCACCAGGACCTAGCAGTCCGCCGCGCGCTACGACCAGCACGACCAGACCACGGCGAAGCACCCGGAGACCACCAAGAAGCCACGACCAGTAGGAGACTGCCAGAAGACTACTCCGAGACGACCGTGTTCCTGAGATTCAGGAACACGGCCCACAAGGCTTCCCACCAGTACTGGTAGCATTCGGGAGCAAAGGCAACATGCTTCCCACAAGTACTGGCGTATTCAGGACCACGGCCAAAATGCTTTCCCCAATACGACGGGATTCAGAAGGGCCACCCAAATTCTTTCCCCAAATGCTGGTGCGATTCGGGAGGACGGGGAAAACGCTTCGACCCAAGTACAGCTGCGATTCAATGAATCTGGCTGTCAGGGATGCGGCTGCACGAATCCTGCGGAAATAATCGGATGCGAGGGCAAAACATGAGCGGGAGCCGTGTCCCGGGTTACCTTTGTCTGCGGGGCAGCTGACCGGTTTTCCTTACTCTCAACGTAAGAACCCGGGAACTTTCAAGTGTCGCGGCCGGTCGCTGAACTTTCAAGGTGCGTCCGCTGTGACACCGCACGCGTTGTCACATCCTTTCAAGTGGTCGCGTCGCGCGTCGTTACACCCGTCGTCGAACGAGTTTTCAGGTGGTCACGGCCCGTCGCTGCACCTGTCAAACAAAGTTTCAAGTGGTATCCCGTCGCTGTTACCACGCGTTGTCAATCTTTAGTGTTGCGACCCCATGGTGCGTACCACACTGTTGGGAAACAATCAGGGCTCAGTGTTGGTTCGGCCTTGGTGTGGCTTGGCTTCATCGCGGGATGCGCGAGGGCAAGCTTGCTTGATTTTGTTTGCTGCACGGCATTTAAGCAAGTCCACTGCACAAGTTGTGTTCGCGGGCGATGCTCTTTGAGACAACGCCCTTTAGGGTTTAGGTCCATTCAAGCTTTCCTTTCTCAAAGTCTAGAACTTTCACCTTAGGCTTTATCTTTTCGACCTTAGGATATCACGATTTACTAATTTAAGGGGTTTCCCAGACAACATCTTGCTTCAGGGTTGAGTGTTCGCCAGCCAGCAACTGCCTTCTTGGGGTTTAGGATTCGCCAGGGCCCATCTCTTTCAGAGTTTTCTCAGCCAGTGTATGAATTTGTGGTTGAGGGTTTGCAAACAAACAGTATCTCACCATCTCCAGAGGGTGTATCGCCCACCACCAACATCTAGGTCAGAGTTTCCGAGCAAGCATCTTCCTTTTAGGGTTGAGGTTCTCCAGCCGACATTGTCTCTTTTTAGGGTTTACGGCTGACTGGCCAGTGAAGGTGTGCCAACAAGCACCTTCCTCTGGGGTTGAGGGTTTGCCAGCCAATATCATCTCCTGTTTTTATTTAGCGTTCGCCAGTCAGCATTTGTGTCAAGGCTTCCCAGCCAACATCTTCCTTCAGGGGTGAGCTTCGCGAACCAACGTCATCTCTTTCGGGTTTTGGGCTCGCCAACCAGCATCTGTGTTAAGGTGTCCAACCAACATCTTGCACTAGGCGTTCGCCAACCAACAGCATCTCCTTTCAGGGTTTAGGGCCGTTTAGGGCTCTCCAGCTAACATGTATGCGGTTGAGACTCGCCAGCTAAGATCATCTCGAAAAGCAGACCCCCTTCCGCTCCACGACTTCCCAACCTGCATCACATCTCCTTTTGGGTTTAGGTTTTCGGGGTTCAACATGTCTTAGGGCCACAACTATTGCCCAATCAAGACATCCTTTATCCGGTTCAGGCCCCACCACTAGATTTTATGTTAGGGCTTGGAGGCTTTCCCACCTATGGTCTTTTGTGGCATTGGCATTTATACTTCATGAGGTCAAAAGGCACGCTATTGAAAGCATTATACAAGTGTTTCATGATTAGTTTAGACATGTCATTCCATACCAGTGGAGCCGATAGCGTTTCAGCGTATGCATCCTTCTATACCGCCAGATATCACCACACTCCGATGCACGTACGAGGAACGTGCGATGCGACAGTTGCTCAGATGTACGTGTTACATAGTCCCGTTAGCATGCATCAGTATGTACATCTGCATGTGCATATACTTATGCAAACACAAATACAACCACACAACCAAATACACGTAGATATGCAGATGTACATATACATGTACATGTACATGTACATTTGCATGTAAAACTGCATCACATCTGTCTACATCTGCATGATCATGTTCCTACTAATGACACGTAGGTTAGTTTTTCTCCGCTTTAAACTTCATCTGCGCGCATTTCGATTCACCGCACAATTGCACCGATAAGGTTAGGGATATACAGGGCTGTTGCTTGTTAAGGTGCACTGCACACATTAGTTGAGCTGCATGCTGTAGCATACTGACTTAACTTGGCACTGTGGTTTGTATGGCCCCCACAAAAATTCCGGGTAGTTCCCCCAATAAACTGGGTTTTGGGTTAAATAAGCGACTTGAATTTCCTTAAGCCTTAAGCATAGGATCAATTTTGGGATCTTAGGAAGTCTGAGAAGATCAAGTTGGAGACTTTGAACTTCAACTCCAAAAACTCTGCAAGTCTGCCCAGGTTTCATGGTCTGGGAAGCTCGCTAGAATAGGCTCAAGAAGACATGTATTTGTAGTTACCTCAAGCAATGGCCAAGGGCCATCAGAAACCACCTGGCGGGTGGGCTGTTCCAAACCCACTAGAATCTAGAAAAGCAAGGCCCAAGTCGGGGTCTCGTTCGATCCTGCAAGCAGGATTTTGCAGGTGCGCAGGCGTTTCTCGGTCGACATTTTTCTTTCTAGCAGCTGCCTCATTGGATGATGTGATGTTTGACCGTGGTCTGGAGTCCGGTCGATTTTCTTGAAACCCTGCAGCTCACTTTGTTTGACTTGGAGGTGACTTAGCCGAGCTCTGCGGCTGTAACTCCGGCAAGTATGAGCTCAGCTTTCCTCGATAAATCTAGCAAAGGCTGCAGTGCATGTGCCAGGTGTGGTGCAAATGCCAGACGAAATCACGGCAATCTCCCTGGTTGCCCTTGGCACTTCGCTGCATCGGTCTCATTTCGGCACCGGCGTGACTGCTTTAACCGGGTGATCCCCATAATGGCCTTAAGGCCAGACACCTTTGCATCCAAGACAGCCGCGGAGCAGGACTGTTGCAACTTGCGTGGCATAGCACAAGACGGGGCAAGCTCCTCTCGTCTTTCCCGTTTCCCCACCCTTGACTGCCACTTGCCCACGTATCTCACGTCGACGCATCGACTTTCGATTCTGAAGCGACATACTCTTCCGCATGATTCGTCATGTCTCGCCCGAGGCTTCATGGGAGAGGCATCTGAGGTCTGTGGATTCAGGTCTTGGGCTTGGAGGTTTCTGTTATGTACGGAGGTGTTGATAGAGTAGCTCCACTCCGACGTGGGGGTTGAGGATCCCGGATGAGGTTCAGGAGACACCGGGGCAGGGGTAGGAGTGGACCTACTGTCAAGCCTAGGCATATAGAATGTTTGTCATGGATTGGAGTTTGAGTCTCCAGTTTCGGAGGAGCCTGTACGGCTTCACACTCCCCTCTGGGCTTTTGGCCGTTGATTTTAGGGAGCATCGAAAACACGTAGAACTGGTTCTGTTTCGAGACGCTGTTCGAGAGCGTTGCATGGTAAGCAGACCTAAGTACTAAGTTCCTTCTGCAGGATCCCACAGCAGATGCTTCCATCGGAAATGTCACTGGAAGCAACTCCGTCAATGCCAAGCGCTGAATGGAGATTCTTCACTGGATGGTAAAGCAAAAGCAGGCTGAGACTCAATAGTGATGTCAGGTCTTCCTTGGTCTCGGCTTGCCTTGGACCATCGGAGCCATCTACTGGGCAGCTCTAGGCACGCGTGCACATGGTGCTGGAGCAACTGCCAAAAGGGTTGTGCCCAGGCGAGTTGTCCGCGGATCATTACTGGTTTGAAAAGTACCGTGGCCAGAGTTCGGAGCTCGAAAAGATGAGGCTCGATGCACAAAACCCGAAGCAAGCGCTCGCCCGCGAGGTGTCGTGGACATTTATCCGACAGGTGGGCAGTTCGTGGTTTTAGGTGGGAACTTGGGATTTAGCGCCGCGAGCCCAGCACTTGTCCAGAGCTTGTTTCGTTGACCTGCTGTTTTGGTTGTTGTTGAGGTGGCTGTCTTTTGCTGCTGCGCGTCTTGCTGCATCATGGTTTTGCACTCAGGGGTCATGAACGACTGTTTCCATGCAGTGCTGTGACGGTCTGGAGCGTGCTGTTGCAAGGTGATTCTGATACGACGATGGTTTGTCGGTGGCGAGCTCGGCGGTCCGAAAGGCCAGGCCCTGGGCTGCCGGGTTGGGGACGAGGAGCTCAAAGCTTCCCGACATTTGGATGCACGGCGCTGTTCGAGGCTTGATGTATGCAACCTCAGGATTCCTTGCCCTTGGCTGAGACTGCTAGTTATCATGAGTGCCTTGTGTGTGTCAATTTCAGCTGTCACAGAAATCGACTGAGCCTGCCTGCCTGTCTCTCTGTCTGCGTGTCCCTCTGTCTGTCCGTCTGTCCGTCCGTCCGTCTGTCGCTGTCTTGCTGTCTCTCGGTCTGCATTCATATACATGCATGCATTGGTGTTTTTGTGATTTCTTGTTTGTGTGCCTGTGAATGTACAGACCGAAACAGCGGAACGGGGCGAAGGCTCAGCGCTGTGCTTGTGCCGAAGACGAAGCTTCATGTCGGGGCAGGAAAGGTGGCGTGATCACAACATCGAGTGTCTCGCATCCCGTCATCTTTGCGACATCTAGTGCCAAAAGCAGCAACTGTCACGAGGATTGCCTTCAAACCCACCCATCCGATGCGGGGCCGTTGTCCAAAATCAACAACTGTCACGAGAAGTTCGGTTCCAAGCCCCCTCATCAATCATTGTGGCTGTTACAGTTGCAACTTTGGAGGGCCGTGAAGGCCAGACGCCAGATCAGACAGGCACCGAAGCACGCTGATCAATGCATGTCACCTGTCGTGCTGGAATCGGGCGTGGGCGGGGTGCTTCAGGTTCAGGATGGCGGAGGTTCACGGCTTAAGGGGAGTTAAGGGTTCAGGGAGGTTCACAGACACCGGCACATGTCTCACGCTGGAGACGATAGTCCGCTAGTACATGCGAGAAACCTTCCACTCGCAGTGAACCTCAAATGCATACTCTCAGAAAAGTCGAGGATTAGCCAAAACTTCCGCGGCCATGTCGTCTTGTCAAGTGTTGCAACAGATCGTGCGAGGTCCACGTGGCTGTTGGACCCGGACGATGCAGATCTTGATATCGGTGTGGGAACAGGGACCAACCACACCTTCAGGGAGAAGGGAGGTTCCAAATCCAACCCCGCCTACACCCACATGTGTGAGCGGCGAGTTGGCCCCACCAACATCCATTCCCAATTGCAGGCAGGGAGACAGACCCAAGTCTGCGTGCGTGCGTCCGTGCGCTGTCCGGTCGGCCGCATCTTTACTGTTTGTGGCCCCGAGGGTGGCATGCTGGGCTTTTTTATGGATCAATCACTGTGCAGACTGCACCCAGCCATGCAGTCTTGTGCACTCAACCCTAAGGTCTGCTTGTGGCTGACATATGTGGGCCTATCCTCATGGAACGTCCTGACGCAGAAAAGCTAGGTGCGCCTGGCAGCCTGATGGACTCTATAACACAGTCCATACGCATGTGCTTGTTGCTGACGATATTTTCAGTTCGCACAGGACGGGAATGCTTGCTTTGTCAAGACTCTTGATAGCCTCATGTCCTGTTGAAGTTATACTTCTGACATTGTCTGCTTGGTATGCCGAGGCGGGTTTGGGCACACAGCACGGCTGAAGCTCGACAGTTTCCAAAGACTGTGTACCCTGGCCCTACTCGGACAACGATTTGCTTCATGCGTGCGCAAAAGCGCAACGCAATGGTGTTCCTGGTTCACTGTTGGAAACCCCAGTAGTCTTAGGCTCTCATCGCTCTTTGGATGACATCGGATTGAACAGACGGGTACACCAGAAGAATTAGATTTCACGAAATTTACTGACACAAGCTGGCACGACACCACCCTCAAGAGCAAGGGGTAGGTATCGGATGGTTGGGCTGTCTTGCCGACTTCACAGTTAAACCCGACACGTGCTGAGAAAGCCCGCGCAATTTGTTTGTTGAAGGCGACGATAGCGCTCAGCCCAACCTATCTTTGTGCCCTTTATGATAATGCAACGGAGCATGTATCACACGGCCCAACATCCAAAGGGTGTTGTAGCCATATCTTGAAACTGCGTGAATTCGGCTTTGCATTGCCGGGATCCCGGTTCCTGTATCATAACCGTGCACGCTCACAGTTCTTACCCCCACTGCGAGATCCACCTTTAACATGAAACGTCTCGGGCTGGCCCCGTGGATTCCTAGCAAACTTTGCTTGCTAGTACTGGTACTGTCATCTTGAATCTCAGTTCTGAAATTTGGTGAAGGGCGTTCTGTGTCGAGCACTGGCGTCATGTGGATCTCGTTCCGACATCAGTGTCAGCTTAGACATCTTCAGAAAGCTTTCGGCCTGGGGCTTGGCCTGCAGATATCAGTATTTGGTTCTCGCGGCCTCAGCAGAGTACCGTTTGCCGAGGTCCGCAGTCCCTACAGCGCACAAAGCTTGGGCAACCCTGAAGGGGCCGATGAGGCTAGCGGAAACTTTTCTCGACGAGCCTGACAGAAGTTAGCACGAAGTGCCAGGGTCCGTTAAGACTACGGTGCAAGACCTGAAATTGCTAACGAGAACGACGGCTCAGCAGCTTGGAGTTGGGACGTTCCTGTTGGCACCGTGCCAGCAGGCGTCGTCAAAGGAGCCGTGACAATCTGCGAGGCATCAAAAGCAGAACAAAATTGAACGCCGCATGCGGCCCACGCATGCCTGCGCTTGAACCACAGCGAAATCAGACTATGTGTTTACCAGATGCAAGGATCGTGGATGTATGCATATGATCAGGCCCAAAGACAGAGATGGTCTTCAGCACGTAGAATTGACATGGTGATGGGCCAGTTTTGAGGCCAACCAGCATTCGCTCATGCATCGAGTTTCGGCAATCTGGAGTCTTGCGGGTCTTGCACTGGTTGCATGCGGCTCCGTTCCAGACTCCCCTGAGCATGTGTGGTTGCAGCGGGGGACGGACGCTTGTCACAAGATCTGCAGGGCCTGTTGGAATTCTTGGTCCACTGCGCAAGTAGGCTTGATCTAAATTATGATTGAAGCGTCCATGCCAGGTTTTGGCTGCTGAAGAGCTAGAGGTGGACGAACATGTCACGGTGCGATGGAGCCATTTCGTCGGTTCTGGCAATTGCTGGTACTCCTGGGGCTATGTTCGTGACAGCTCGGGCAATTTTTTAGATTCGATCACCGGCAACACAAAGGCCACTGGTGTGTTCGCGTGGCAGGTTCCTGCGAGACTCTGTGGCAAGAAGATTCAGGTGGAAATGTGCAGCGGCAGTCCTCCACGGAAGACTAAGCATGCTTGCCACCGGTCGAAGGGTTTTCTGGTGAGAGGTGACTGCTCGGAGGACTCCTCGACTAGGAGTGTTGAAGGGATTGAAGGCACCACCGCGACGACCACCTTGTCGGACGTGGGTGAATTGGGGCCATTGCCACTGCATTCCAGATCTCGACGTTGGACTCCGGCTTCTGCCAGCAGCCAAACCACGGTTACTAACACCGAAAGACCCTCCGATGCATCGGTGACTTCGGTGGCCCTGGTTGTCGTGTGGTTGGGCAGGTTGCCTACCTTCGCGGGTGCGTTTGCAGAGACTGCGCGGGGCAGCGGACCCACTTTCCTGATTTTCCACACACATGACGAAGAACCTCCCGTGCGATCTGACCGCGTTCATTTTGAGCACTTGACCTTGAAAAGCTTGGCAACCAGACTTTGGAAGACTGACGTAATGCAAAACGTCTTTAGTACCATGTCCTTTGAGTCTTTCGAAGATCGTGTGGCAGAGTGCTATGCGGATGACAATCCAGCAAAAGGCAACGACCTAAAGCCTCTGTATGGAGCTTTGTTTCAGGAGGAGCTACGCAACTACACACATTGGGGCTGGACAGATCTTGACATGATTTGGGGAAGGCTCGACCTCTTCTTGACCAAGGATTTGTTAACGAAGTACGATGTGATTTCGTTTCCGGACGGTGCCAGGCCGGCCTTGTACCTGTCGGGACAGCTCACGATCTTTCAAAACACGCCCATCTGGCGCCACTTCGTGGACGGTTGCCTGGAGGGTCCGGGCCACGTGAACTATGGGGGGTGTTATGCAGAGGGGCTCTTGTCAGAAGCAAACCTTTTCTTCGATGAGAAGCTTGCCATCTGGTTTGCAGCACTGAGACATGCGCGCATTTGGGTGGATTTCAGTCCGTTGCTGATAGAGCCCAGGTGGTCGCGCTTGTCTGGCCGTGGCGTACAGAAGCTGTTTCGTGAGCAAGGGCGCCTTCTGGTGCATGGGAGTCAGAGTTTGCCTTTCGTGGATGTTGAGCGGCGGAACATGGAAGTACACAAGCTGCAGAACTCATCAGACTGCTACACGGAGTTTGGACTCGGATGGAGCTTTGCCTGTGTGCCGACCGAGGGGAACGATGCCTTCGGCATTGCGTATGAGATTGCTGATCAAAGGTTGCTACTGTCGCCGTCGCTGCCTCGCCTGGTAGATAGCGGAGTGGAGTTTGCAGCGTGGCACCTGCACCGGAGTAAACAACGCTTTCACTGGGAGTCCCAGTGCCAAACAGTGACATGCCACAGAGAACGATCTGCAAACATCAGCTGTGAATGCAGCTCAACTGGGTCTGGAGCTTCCTGGAATCTCCCGATTCCGAACATTGTCCATTTCGTGCTCACCGACCGAGACACTCGATTCTTTGACTGGCCGTGCTATGCAGCCATCCGAAGTGCCTGGGAAAAGCTCCAGCCGGAACAACTGCTTGTTCATGTTCTAGATGGAGTGGAGCCTGGCACTTTTGATGACTGGTGGCAAGCTGCCAGGGCATTCATTACTGCGGTAGTTCCATTTTCACGCTCGACCGTGCCGTCTTCACTGAATGGACTTCGGCTAAGCCATCCTGCTTTCATAGCTGATTTCCGGCGCATTCAGATCCTGCACGATTGGGGCGGCATATACATGGATACGGATGCGTTGTCCTTGCGTGAGTTTGAGGACCTGCGAGGATGGAGGGCCGTTCTGGCAAGACAGGGTGGAGTGGAGCTACGTGCTACCGTGGGATTGATGATGTTTGAGAAGAACTCCCCGCTGCTGCTGCCCCTGCTTGATCGAATGAGGAAAGCTTACACCGGATCCTGGGGAGTACATGCTGGGCAAGAGACTTAGAGAGTGTGAGCCTTCCTGGTACAACAGCAGATCGGCAAGGCGAAGCCCGTGTGTCACTGAATCACAACATCGGATTAGTTATCCGGAAGAGTCCAGGTTAAGCAGAGTTTGGCATTGGAGCAGAACCCCGACAAGAAGAACAGAACCGTGTTGGGCTTCGTCCAGTTGGCCCCAGCAGAAGCTCAAAACTCCTGCAGACAGCAACGGGACAGCAGGCGATGGCCCAAATCCTACACACTGGCACACCAAAGCAAAAGCATAAATAGGGCTGTTCGAGAACTCAAGAATCTGGGAATCATGCTGCTCGAACCCATCTGCGATTTTCCCCATGTCTGGCTAGGCCGTGTTCGTTTACTCTCACCATGTATCTCGCTCTCTCTCTCTCTTTATTCGGTGTCTCTCAGTCTCTCTCTCTCTCTCTTTCTTCTCTTGCTCGCTCCGCTCCCCCCCTGTGTCTGTCTCTCTTTGTCACTCGACTGTTGGAGCGGCGAATGCAAGGTCTGACCCTGCTTGTACGGGGCTGTGTGCACGGTACACTCTATTGGCAGACTTGTTGGCTCAGGCATGTTCTGGACGACATGCTGGCAGGCATCCGACCCGAAGGAGTTGCAATCCTGGCGCGTAGCAGCGGCTTCTTCGCATCTTCCTGGCATGCCTCTGATTTTGTTGAATTAATGGAAGAGTCTGGAATTGTGGACTGGAGCCGCTGCTGGTCTCTGCATCTGTACAACTCTCAAACCAAGTTGCTTAGCTTTTACTTTCGCCCTGTGGTTTCCATGCGATACAGGTGTCTCAGTGAAACTTTGACCGAATGCCGTGCAGAGCCAAGGCGGTTTACTAAAGATCCCGTCGAGCTTTGCAGAGATTCATCCTACAAGTCTGGCGATCTGTGCAACGGTCTTCGCTTAACAGTTGAAGCTCTTTCGCACATGGCAGCCATCAGCCAACATCGGCGGCAGGCTTCAGATCTACATCAAAGCAACATAAAATAGTTTCAAAACGAAGATACCAAGGACATGGACGACATCTATGGCATGGTTGGTCGTGGGTATCCTGTGATGAACAGCACCTGGGCCAGCACTTGCGAGCCAAAGCTGTACCAGTATGATCTAAGCAGGTGCAGGCAATGCGCAAAAAAGACTTGCGAGACGCTGGAGTAGTCAGCTGTGAGCAGCTCAAGCAGGAGACAAAGCAGCCATTCTCACACTTGTCGCAGATGTCCACATTCTTTCGTCAGGCAGGATCGAGGAAGCCTTCCTAAAAAGAGCCGACGAGCAAGCCGCGCTGTTTGATGTCCCAGACTCTTGGCGACATACTCTTGCTTTCGCGGTTTGCAGGTTGCTGCTTTGCCATTACCGGCGCTTGCTTGCCAGGTTTCTCACTCCCTGGATATTCAGCGAGAGGCCGCGCAGGCAAGTGCATCATGTATCATTATGTGGGACAGGGCGCTAGCAGGCCTCGGCCTCTGGTATTCTCGGCAGGCATCACGGCCAGAGCTTTGACATGATCAGACCGCTGTGATGGCATCGCTTCCCTGAGCTGCGGTCCGGGCCGACAGCGACACGACGTCGGCGGTGGCCCCGGAGTTGATTCGGCAAGAAAACCCTTCAACACTTCACGTAGGTGCAGGCTACCCATGAAGAAGTCACACCGAGAGCCGAGAGCCTCGGTCGTGAGAGCTGAAGCTGTATCCATGTCGGCAGAGCTTAGAGGATCAGCTCGGCCGAAGTTGGCGATGGAAAGCCGCCTGTGCAAAGTCAGCAGATTGGCGAGATGCCAAGCTGGTAAAGGCATTCTTGCAAGTGTTTTTGGAATTCGTAAGCTTTGAGGGTCTTGTTGACAGTTTCGACCACGTCACTCCAACAAAAGCAAGATGTTTGCCGGCTGGCTTGCTCAAGCTTGCATCACCTACCATGTCACTGTTTCTGGACTTCATTGTTTACAGGGACGTCATCCCAAGCTTGCTTCGGCACCACACCTAACACACCACGAGCAGTGCCACATCTCAGGCATCACTTGTTGTAGTCAGTGAAGGTCAGCATGACTGGCACATCCAAGGGCCCCACGTACGTCCCGCTGGAGGCCTGCGGGCAACAGCGTTGAAAACATAGGTGTCAAATGGAATTAGCACAGTTAGCCGTTACAAAGATTGTGTGCTGCAGGGCAACCATAAAGAAGGGCTTGCTCTTCAGTCATAGATTCAATTTTGCCTGTTTTGTTTCTGCGATGCTTTTTGTCAGCCTGTTATTTTGAGGTGACCACCCGATGCGACGATGAGTCAGAAGCGGAGGCCACAGCACTCAGCGATTCCAACATGCCTCTGCAGGGTTGCGTAGATGCTGTGGTACCGAGATGGGATACCAGCACTTGCCCTTCAGTCTGGCGCTCAGTTCGGAATGCTACTGCACTATCACTACCGCTACGGCTACTGCTAATGATTATTGCTGACACTACTCTTGATGTCTGCTACTGCTGCTGCTGCTGCTGCTACTGCTGCCGCGGCTGCTACTGCTACTGCTACTGCTCCTGCTACTGCTACTGCTGCTGCTACTACTACTACCACTACTACCACCACCACTCCTGCCGACTACGACTGCGACGACGACGATACCACCACCACCACCACCACCACCACCACCACCACCACCACCACCACCCCCGCCACCACCGCCGCCACCGCCGCCACCGCCACCACTGCCACCACCACCTCCCAACATCCCTCGCCCCCAAGTCCTCAATGCCTGCGGTCAACACCGCAGCCTAACTTGCATTCAACTCGGGGATCGTAGCTAGGTCAGAAGAGTACAGGGTAAGAGGCTGTCGGGTCGTATATTGGAAGGCCAGCGCGTAGCCCGTCGCCAACGGCGGCAAGTGTTGGGCTCAGCAAACGCACTGTGCCAACTTTGTCCGTCTTATGGGATGCTGGAAAGGGCAGACCCCGATCACTCAAAGCGAAGCTCATAGGAGGCTGGTGATTGCCGTTTCATCGACTAGTCTGACACGCTAGAGCCTGCTACCAAGCAAACGATCGTGCTCTGCCACTTTCTTTGACAAGATCTGTCTGCTGCGCAGGAGTGGCGGCAGCATGCATCGTGGCAGCCTTTGTGTGTGGACCTAAAGTCAACTGGTGTCACTGTAGCCTCGCCATGTGATAATATGTGATATTGTTTCTGAAAACCGTTAGCGGCACTCAGCTTGTCAACGTCCAGCACGTACGTGTCAGGCTCTGGGGATGGGCATTAGCACGGTGCCTAAAAGGTCAACCTGAGCTGTGTTAGACATGGCGAGTACAAGGCATCAAGGGACACATTGAGCCGAGGTGCTTCTTTTACAGCGCCTGAACGCGATGCGATTACCCAAACCACAGGAGCCTCTGGTTTCGCAGAAGGACCATCACGAACTACACGTTGACAAATGTTTCAGGCTATGTAGGCAGACTTGACATCCGGGACAGGAGGAGCCACCGCCGCTGCCCTATTACCTGCCGGCACTGCCTCCGCCAGAACCCACAGCCAGTGAGACACGTGAGCACGTGGCTGAGCACGGTGGCTGAGCGGGGCGGGGCCGCCAAAAAGCGTGGTGCAAATCAGGCAGCAGGAGTCTTCTGAGAGTGTAAGCGCAGTGTGCAAGCTTTCCTTTCTGCTGGATTCACTTGTGTCAAGAGCATCAGCCTGCGTGGCTTTCACTAAGACTCTGTAGCCGACACATAAGCCTCCCACAAATCATGTTCTTGCTCAGCTTGTGGCCGGAGACCACGGACAGAAAACCAGATCGCTGTTCTGTGACCTGTCGGCGGGGGTTTCGATATCTTTCTCGGCAGCGAGAATGGCGGATGGAGCACCACCACCGCCGCCTCCCCCGCTCTACAGGACTTCTCAGGGTCGGCCGTGACAGGGCTTTGCTTTGCGTCGCTCTGAGCCCAGGAGCGCCTCGGCTGGCGGCATCCCGGTCTTCCGAGGCTGTGCCTCGCCGTCTTGAGTATCTAGGAAGTTCTCTCTGTGAGACCTTTGAAGCTGAGGTGATCTTGTGATCAAGAGTCGGTCAGACCTAAACTTCGATGGACTCACCCCAGCTCCTGACCGTGCCAACGGATCTGCAAATAATGACTGCATGGTTGCCTAGGCCTAGGCTTGCTTTTGCAACTTGCCTTCTGGAGCTGTGCCAACAGCATATGGTAAGGTTTGGTATGGTCGAACCGTGTTGGAGATTGGAGCACAGGAGTGGTCTGCCCTGGCCTCAAAAGCCTCAGCCCATCTGCAAGACACAGCTGTGCGATGCTGCAAGTGCACGGCAATTGACGCAGCAAGGTCGACAAGTTCTTGCATCTTGCTTGCACATTGGAAACGCGCTTCCTGCCTGCATGCTGCTTTGCAGAAGCTCAGGAATTATGGGGCAGAAGGGCAGACTTACCTGGTTACGAGGACCACGCACAAGCCAGTCCTTTTCGTTTATCCAACCGATCGTTAAGCGTATGCATTACAGGACTGGAACCGGGGAGAAATTCGCAGCATCTTGGCAAACAGAACTAAGTGAACTGAAGAGCAAACGACGCAAGCAAGGCCTGCATTTTTGGCATTGGAGCCTTCCAGACATCCTCTCTGATTTAGGCTAAGTTCTGCAACAAGTTCGACTCCATGGAAGTAAAGCTGGTGCAAGAACTTCCACGCCAGCTTGTCATCCACGACAACTTCATCAAGCAGCTCTGATTAGTTCAGCGCATGATCCACAAACGACCTACTCGTAGCACCTCGTCATCTGAATCGTCGCCCAGGTATGAGATGATCGTCTTAGACGTGCATGAGACTCTCTCGCCAGCTCACCACATAATTTTCATGGAGCACATTCCAAACGGTGAGCTCTTCGATGTTTTGGCCTCACCGGAAGAGTCTGTTGCTGGAAAGCCTTTAAGTGAGGGCACTTCCAGACGGATTTTACATGATGTCATCAGTGGTATGGCTGAATGCTACAGATATGGAGTGACTCATCGAGATCTAAAGCCAGAGCCTGGACCAGAATTCATCCGTACACTGCTTGGCCAAGGCAGCATGTTAGCGGGTTAAGCATCTTCGCGGGGCCCTAAAACTGCGCCTAGAAAATCTCTGATCACAGTCCTCCGGCATCAACTGCGCTGCTTTTCCACAAAGCTTCACGTTTGATTTGGAGCGGATTCATTTTTTCGACAATTATGCGCGGTAGAAAGGGGAAGTGGTGCTGAGGTGGCTCACACCTGTCCCGACCAATCCCACGCAGGAGCCCTTTCGGATGACGGTTGGGGGCGCTTGCGGGCGATAGTGCAGGCCGTTGTCTGAAGCGCGCAGGGGTTCCGTCGATGTTACTGTGTAGCGCCTTTTGTGCCTGCGGAGTTCGTCTGCAATTTCGTAGATTTAGTAGCCACATCTTCAATCGGTGAATAATTACAGCATGAAGATGAGGCATTGGCAGCATTCACACCATCGCGACAAATGCGTGCATTGTCGTGTCGATTTGCTTGAGCTCAGGAAAACCTGCTTATCAATGAGCAAGGCCGTATTGTCATCATAGACATGGGCCACGCAAAGCGAGTGAGAGAAACAGGATCACCGAGCCCGCCCTCCGCGCTGACACTCGCACGGGCTACCACAACGAATCCATACGGGACACCAGCTTTCAATGCACCAGAGGTTTCGGGAGGCCGTGCTTACGACTGTGAATGGTCTGACGTTTGGAGCGTGGGAGTCATCGCCTTCTACTTGCATGGGAAGCTTCCAGCCTTCAGCTCCGGAGGTGGGGTTGCAAGCTGGGATGACGTCTCAGGGACCAGCAATGAGGACCTGTGGCGAAAAATCACCACTTGTGGATATTACCCGCAATTTCCTGAGGAGTTGAGATTCTTCATCAATGCTTTGTGGCGGATTGATCCTTCGGAAAGGCCGAGGTTTAATCAGTTGGAAAAGGCAATCACTGGTGACACAGAGACCCTGAACCAGTTCCCCGGACTGCAATGGCTGGCTCGTCCGGTCAACGATGACGCAGACTTCATCGACGAGCTTTCCCGTAGTTGTCCCAACAACTCCTTTCATCTCTCAGGCGGGCCAGTGAAGCGATGGTAGGCCTTCGGACAGAGCATTGTGGGACGAGGCTTGGTGGGCTGGTCCCGGCGGGAGGTTGCGGTGATCGCTTGACTTGCGCGAAAAGTGTTGTCTCAACATGGCCCTGGTTGCGGAGGTGTGGTGTAGTTATATAGCTATACATATGCATATGTGTTCCTAGATTTCCTAAATCATCGGCCAGGTAGGTTGGGATTTAGGAGTCCGTGTAGCCGTTTTGCGGTGCTCTTGTTCAGATGTGATCGCCGTGGCCATTTGGCGTGGGCGATCGCCTCTGATCTTTTTGATCGGCGTGGGAGCTTGATCAGATTAGATCCTTCTGACGCTAGTCCTTCCCGCCCGCTTGCGCCTCCGGCCCCACTGAGCAGATCCCCCAGTTCGGACGACGCCAACACGGCGAACTGTTGGGGCACGTA